GATTACAACCTTAATAGGTAGAATTAGAGATGCACCTAAACAATCTATCGGAAAAGGTTGTTTTAATGTTGAAAAACCTTTAATTGATCATCTCGATATCGAGATGCATGACTATAAAAATAAAAATAAAAATGAGTCCCAAAAATAGTGCATCTTGCAATACATTATATAGATCGTCTGTTTTTAAGATTTTCATATGTTTATAGATCTACTTGATTTTAACCATTTTTGGAGTTTAAAATTTTATAATTAGGTATGAAAATAGATTTTGAGATAATCCTAAAAAAAAATTTCGCCAAAATTACATGTTATCATAAAATTTGGACTCCTAAATTGGATTGTGCAAGGTTGCAACCTTGAAGAAACCACACCCTTTAACTTTATAATATACAAATTTGGAATTGATCCGGATCCAAATATTTTGGATCTAATCAGATCCAGATCCGGATATGAATCATATGTATACTTTTTGGATCTAGATCTGTATCTTGGTGGATCCGGATCTAACCCGAGAAATTCTCAACCCTAAGTTGCATTTTTTTATATAATATAAAACAAAATTTAGCTAACTTTTGATCGAAATTGTTGCTGGAAATGTCCGATTTCCAGCAACCCATTTGTCGATCTAAAGTAACAAAGTTAACCTTTTAATCTATTTTATATCTTCATAATTGGCTAACAAGCTCTAATCGCCATTAGGGTTCTTTAATGGAGAAGAAAGAACAAGTATTTATTTGGTTCACAGTCAGGCAGTCCTCACTGAAACACCATTCTTGCAAATAAAATAAAATAAAATCCGTTGAATACTCAAAAGGTTAAAAGGATCTTAAAACCATTGTCGTGCTGAAAAAAATTCAATTGCTCATTTTTTTTGGATGGACCATTGTTTCATATTTTTGGATTTTTTGGTCATTGTTATTTAGAATCCTATATTGAGGTTCCTTTACTAACAGGAAGATTGTACTTAAGATTGTTGCTCTTATTATTTGTCAATATAACTATTGAGTTTTATATGTCAATATAACTATTGAGTTTAGTATGGCTATTATATATTGGAAAAAGACAATTTACGGTTGCAACCTTAAAATGTAGAAATAAGGTGCACATCAAAAATTCATTATAAAAGGCTGTTTTGAGTTTGAAAAACCCTCTAATTGATCATCTCGACATCGTGATGTATGAATATGAAAAAAAAAACGATTTTAAATCCCAAAAATAGTACATCTTGCAATACATTGTCTGGATCGTCGATATTTAAGATTTTCATGTATTTATAGATCTACTTGATTTGAATCAATTTTAGAGTTTGAAAATTTATAATTAGATATAGAAATGGATTCATAGGCCATCAAAAGATTTGTTGACACCAAAATTACATCTTGTGATAAAATTTAGGGGTGCATTTTAATTTAATTGTTTAAGGGCAACCTTATGCAAACCTATACATTGGGCATAA